ACCCCCCCACCCCTTCCCACATTACATATGCACACACCACACACTACACAAACACATACACACACCACACACATCACCCCCCCCCACACACACACACAGTGAGATATCCACCCTGCCGGCAACTGTAGTGCTGACCACACCCAAAGGGCATGGTCACAGGTGTGAACAGGAGGACAGGATGGAGAGTGCTTTTAGGTCTGGGGTTGGGGCACAGGTGGTTCTCTCTTGCTTCTGGTCAGGTGGCAGAGAACAGTCTATGTGGATTCTTGGAGCGGGTACTTGAGGTGGTCATGTTTCCTGTGTAAGTGTCTTCTCCCCGAATAAAATTATATTAGCCTATATTGAGCCTATCCCAGTGAATCTGGATACACACACACACACACACACACACAGAGAGAGAGAGAGAGAGAGAGAGAGAGAGAGAGAGAGAGAGAGAGAGAGAGACTCAATACAAAGGCACAGAATGGAAACAAAGTATAAAAATATCTTAACAGGAAATACATAAAAATCAACTAACTGCAACATTAACAAAACACTGTAACATCATGTACCTAAATTTGAATCTTGAACAGCTGCCTGATTGATGTAATCTTGAGAGTAGCATTCAGAGAGAAATGAATGAATCAATGAGTGAACCAATGAATGAATTAATCAATTATTTACAAGACACAAAGAACAGAAAATATTTGAGACTTGGTGGGTGGGTGTAGGCAGGAACTCTAGCAACTTATACATAGACTGATCCACCAGAATCTAAGGCAAATGAGACAATTTGCCTTAGCTCTTTTCCCTATGAACAGCTAGAAATCCATTTCTGTCTTTCTCAAGTGATTCTCAAATGCCCCAGAATGTTCTCAATACTGCTCTTTTAGAGATGAAAGAGGAAAAGTAGAACAATTCAGAATGCAATTTCTACCCTTCTTTCCTACTGAATACTCTTTTGTGACCACATAATAACAGGAAGCCGATTCTGCTGTTACAGGAACAGGAAGAATACATGGTGAGCTGCGTCTGTGAGCAGGGAGGTGGCCCCATTGCACTGACCAGGAACAGAAACATCACAGGATGAGCTGCCTCTGTGAACTAGAGGCAGGCCTCACTGCACTGACAATTAGCCATCAGCCATCCTCCCTGTCCTGGGTCATGATTCATCACTGTCTAGGTTTGTGCAACCAGTGCCAGCTGGCATTCTTGCCATCTCTGGTTCCTTCCCGTGCCCATTTAGGGATGCATGGAGGGAGCCCATAATGTTGTTGTCACAAAAACAGATGGTGAGACTGTGCCAGACTGAGCACTGGCGGAAGAGGTGAAGATGTCAGTGTGGCAGAGACAATTAGGGGTGAGGGATAATACTAAAGTATAGGGAGATCACATGCCAGGGTCTTTCCTCAGGCCTCCTTCCCTCGGAATAACAGTCTAATACAAGAAAGTGCATAGCATGGTAATCGTACCAAAAGGATTGGAAAGGCAGAAGCCAACCAGAAACTCAGTCTCTAATGGCTGAGTATGCAATGTTTCTACCCAGATCTCTGCTGATTAAAGTAAATGTCACAATGAATTGTAACAAGAAAGTCACAAAGTCAACCCAATAAACATCAACATTTAATTATAGAGCACTGATTTACAGATGTGATACAAGCTGGGGCATTAGGGCTCCAGGTAGTGATGGCAGTTTGAGTGTGTGTGAATGTGAGTGTGTGTGTGTGTGGGGGGGAGCAAAAAGTAAGGCTAGAATGAAAGGACTGGTATTTGGCGTCAAGTGTAAGAGAGCACACTTCATATCAGGAAATCTTAGTGCTCTGTGCCCATCTTCCCAATTTTTGGAACAGCTTAGGATCCTGGAGCACAGACTTCATTACAATCCTACCAGAGATGACAGATACTTCCTTTTCTAATGAGTTGGGTTTTGTTTGTTGTTTTGTTTTAATTTGGCCATGGACTACTAATGATAACAAACTGACAACTCTTTCATGGAACTGCCTCTCACTGGGTCTCACACATGATCTCCAAGTGATTTTCCATACAATATGGTAACACTTGCCAACACTGGAACAGATAATGTGATCTGTCATCTGACCCAAGTAGGATTCATGTATGTGGCCAATGAACTGGTAGGGAAGGTGGTAACAGAAGAGCAGAGAGAGGATTACTGGTTGCGAGAAAGGTAGGTGC